CTCAATCCTATTCTCCTTCAGTTCATCTCTAATCTCCTTCTTAAAGGAATTAAATTGTTAAAATGCTCCGTGTTGGGGATAAAATGAATTTACAATTGGAAAAATGAGAAAACACAGTTACCATTGGCAATACTGTGGTTCTAACAGTACCAGCATCCTGAAATGCCCTCTTAAATGACACACACTACTAGTTTCTAGCAGAGCTTAGAAAGTGAAACTTTTTTAAGTTTCATTTCTGTTACTCATTATAATGGTTGAAAAATAACTTATTTGTTACAAAGTGGGCAAACTAACTTGATGCAATTATTTATGTCACTGCTCATAGTTTTTCTATTTCTTGCCATTCCTTTCTTGAGAGGGGTAAAACTTAAGGCTAAGAAGTGAATGGCATAAAATTTGAAAAATCCTGCTCAAAACACAAAATGCCAAATGCCATTATGGAGTAACTCTGGAAAATAACTAGAAATCTATATTTGTTACACCAGTAAAATAATTCCACAAAATGTAGCTGTGTCTTACTACTTTACTCTCAAAAGTAACTAAGTGCAAGTAACTTCATCGTTTTTAACTTGCTATTTCCAAGCTCTGGTTGTTAACACATTCAGTATGTACTAATTCCAAGGGAACTACTTGCATTCAGGAGCCATCATAGTGTAGTTGTTTCATCGATGGACTAGAACTCCAAGATACCAGGGTTTAAATCCCCATTTATGCATGGAAAGCCACTGGGTGACTTTGAGTAAGTCACACTCCTCTCTCATCCTCAGAGGAAAGCCATGGCAGATCAATCTTGCCAAGAAAACCATGGGATCCTTGCATGAATAAGATCCTAAAATCCAGAAAAAGCCTATGTTCAGATCTTTCGCAACGCAGAGTCAGGACTCTGGCCAGGCTGGCCAACTGTTAGCATCCCAATTTGTGTGCTGTTCTAGCTTTGCAGAATTGATTATTACCATTAAACCTATAAAGAAACGGAAGGATTCCACAAGGGCAGAATCACAGTCTCCTGGATAATTCCTGGATAATCCCCCAGTGGGTTAGGGAGCTATCTGGTTGAGATGCAAGGCCTGAAAATTGCAACATTCCCCTTCGGAAAGCTGAGGAATCCTAAAAAAAATCATTGAGTTTATATAACATTACTAATGTTATATAAAGGGTTTATATAACATTACTAAAGGACCTTGGATGGCCCATGCAGAACAGGAAAGGAGAAACCCAACTCAGAGCCAGAAGGAGCCATGCACTGATGGGGTTGCATCCCCCTCCAAACAAACTCTACATGTTCATATGAGAACGTGGTGCAAATGTGCGATCATGCACACAGAGGAGGACCTCCGGCTGTCTAGATGTTTTGGACTACAACTCCCTTGGCCATGTTGGTTGAGCTTACAGGCCAAAACTCCTCATGGGTCCCCATACCAATTGGACACACTGACATGGGAATAAGCTCCGCAGAGAGAGCACAAGAAGCGCACATCTGAGAAAATATCCACAGAACTGCATAGCTGACTAGAGGCTTTTCCAAAGGGAAAGTAGAGAAAATGATTTCTTTCATGAGTGGTTAATCGAAGGGAAAACCAATTATGGGCCATATCAAGATGAGTCATTCTTTCCCTCCCCTCCAAAAAATACGAAAATTCAACCTGCCCAGCACAATTTGTACATACTCTGTACACTCCAGGAATCTGTTTTCTTTGCCTGCTTTAACCACCTTTTATTCAATGTTTAGATGTTTAACTCAAGTAGCTTGAAGCTACTTTAAATATAATAATTTGCAGCTTTAACTCAACTACCTTGACAGCAAAAGCTCATGCATATCTACATAAAAGTATGCCCTACTGCAGGGGTAGGCAACCTTTCCCCTTTAAGGGCTGAGGGACTTCAGCTCCCAGAATCCCAGGAGCTATTGGCCAACATGGGACTATTGGCCAACATGGCTGAGGCTTCTGGGAGCTGAAGTCCCTCAGGCCTTAAAGGGGAAAGGTTGCCTACTTCTGCCCTACTGAGTTCCCTAAGCCTCTCACCATGCTGTTTGGGGATGATGGCAGTTGTAGTTCAGCCCATCTGGACAGCAGATTGGGAAAACAGGATTACAGCATTAGGCTAGAACTGGACATGGCAAATTCAAAATCTCTCTCTGCCTTAACGTTTATTGAGTTGTCAAAGAAATAGCCATGTTAGTCTCCTGCAGCCTAAAGAAGAGTCAGGGAGAGGGAGGGGGAACAGGAATATGGCAACACCTTTAACTGGTTTTTATTTTCATGGATATGAACTTCTTCAGATGCAGTACAGAGTGATATCAAAGCCACAGGTTATACAGTATATTTATACACTCATTGGAGTGGATTTAAATACACTAAGATTCAGAAAGATGTCCCTTGTCCTAAACATGTCCCTTGTCCTAAATTTCCAAAGGGCTGGGCAAGGTAATACAGGTTTTTCAGATCTTTACAGTGGTCAGTGTTGATGTGTGAAAGCAATAAATCTGTTTACTAAAAATCAGATTCCTTGACATTTATTTTACGAGTTTCTCAAATGACCCTGGGGAGATCATCATCTCTCCATCTAGCCTGCCACATGAAGTACCTACCCCACCTTGTTTTCATTTTTAATTTATTTCAAATCTTTCTATACTAATCCTGCCAAGTCAAAAATGTCCAGAAAGGGTTTCCAAGAGCTGATAACAGTGTTGAAGGGAAGGTGATAGAATGCATCAGACATAAAAAGAATGGAAAAATACGAAGACCTTTGCATGGCAATGGAAAAAAAAAAAACAGTAGTGTAGGCCCCAGGGCCCTTTCACGGTACAATTGCAACACTATGATTCCATTTGAACTGTCATGGCTCCATCCTATGGGATCATGGAATTTTGCAGTTTAGGAAGGGACATTGAAAATTCTCGGCCAGAGAGCTCTAGTGCCTCTGCCCAAACTACAACTCCCAGATTTCAATCAGGTATAGCCATGGCAGTAAAGTGGAATTATAGTGCTATAACTGTGTAGCATGAAAGAGCCCCAGGCTAAATGCCCTCTGTGTGTGTGTGTTGTGTGCCTTCAAGTCATTTCTGATTTATGGCAACCCTAAGGCCATAAACCCCCTATCATGAGGTTTTCTAGGCAAGATTTGTTCAGACGAGGTTTGCCATTGCCTTCCTCTGAGGCTGAGAGAGTGTGACTTGTCCAAGGTTCCATGGGCTTCATGGGCATGTTGGGAATCGAACCCTAGTCTCCAGACCACTGATGTCACCCGGTGCGGTAACTCATGGCATCACCACCCCCATTGACCTCCTCCCATACCACACCTTACAGAATCCCGAGTCATGTTTTTCGTACTAATTTACTCATAAATCATAATTCCCATATAGCACTGAATGTAAAGGCAACCGTTGTGACAAAAACAACTAGCAAAATTAAAACCAGACCTTGACATTCCAATATCATGTGCACAGAATAAATGTGTTTACACAAACACAATTTCATGCGAGTGAAAATTTGGTAAAATGTGAGGGTTTAAAAATTGAAAATTTTATTTTTGCAAATTTGAAATTTAATTTAAAAAAAAAAAGCCTTGGATCTCTCCTTTCTTCTCCCACTGAGCCTTACACCACTCACACTATCTCTTCAGCATTTTAAAGAGATACAGGCAAATGTCACAGCCCAATTCTGCCTGAATGCAGATGTTTGG